ACACCGGAAACCCTTGAAGGAATCCAATCCCCGATATATAAGGGAACTTTGATGTGAATATGTTGACTCTTTTTGTTTTTGTTTTGCCTGTGACATGTGTGTATAGCAGGAAAGCAGGTTAAACCCAGAGACTGATTGCCACTGAGTCCTTGTATATATACCATGCAACTATAAGAAGCCAATTAAATACTGTACAGGGACCTTGTTTTGAACAATATCACTGACGGGGTGCGTGGAGATATTGTCATGGGTCCATTGGATCCCAGACAAAAGAATTGAATTGAGCGGCCATCGGAATGCAAGTTTTGAATAAGATCTCAAACTATTTTCAAAGGAGTTCATTCTCATTGCCCAGTTCATCAATTGGCTGTTAAATCAATCGTTTTGGTTAGCTGGCAATAATTATTGATTATAATGTACTTTAGGTTAAAAGGCCCTTTCAACACTAGGTTCTGACTTCTCCTCTCAAAGAGGAATGAAGGTTTTTATACACAGGTGCTCGGACTGGGTCAGGAAGAAATCCGGTGATTTCTTCCTGGCTCAGGATTGGCCATTATCAGGAAAATCGAAGAAGTGATGAACACTTCTTGTCCTTGAGTGAAGCTCAGTGAGTCTTGCAAAAACAGGATTTTTGCGTGGCTCACTGGCCTCAAGATCCAACAAGTTTTTGGGTCTGGTTGCAACCGGATGCTGGAGCTGCGTCGCTTTGGGACGCGACGGATATTGCTATTTTATTTTATTTTTCTCTCGTATCTGACGAGAAATATCAACTTTAATTACTTTTTCGATCTTGAAAAGAAACTTGTTTCAAAATTTTGGAAAATTTCTACATGATGAATACAACAGGTTCGGCGGACGTGTTGGACGCCGTTGGGATCCAGAGAGAGCCGATAGGAGTGACGACAGCGATTGGGCGGTGTCCGGAGCGCCCGGAAACGGTGATCGACGGTGTCCCTTTCGGCGTCAGTCCCGACCAGGCCTACAATTTGGAGGAAGTCGCCATTCTCAGTGTCCCCACCAGCCACTTGTTCCCACGTGAGTATATACTCCACGATTTCACATCACATTAAAATCTCGTTACAACGACGTCCCTGCTGGGAACAGTAAAATAGCTTCGTTGTAACGAAATATTCGGTATATATATATTTTTTTTCAAATAACATTATCGCGATTGGGCAAGGACCTTAAAACTGTTTCGTAGTAATTGAATATTCGTTATATCCAGATTGGCTGTAGGATATTTTAATGTATAAAAAATGCGGTATAAAAAATTGTTCAAACATAGGGCAGGGACCTTTAGAAAAGACTTCGTAGTAATCAAATATTTGTTGTATCAGGATTGGTTGTTGTGTGATAAGATCCCAACAAAGAAGATAATAAATCAGATTAATAATTGCAAATGAGGAGAATTAAATATATCCAACAAGACACTCTGCTGGGGAACTTGGCAGAGAACAGAGGAAAATGTATTTCACTAAATAGACTCAAGGGTACAAATGCCACACAATGACTAAATCAGTTACTGAATTTACATGCTTCAGAATAAGCTCAGCAACTGATTTAAAATGGATGAAATTTGTAAGCATGAAGAGGAAGATTATGCAATAGGGATATTCTGTGGAAATTCCTCGCTGCAAAGAAAATCCTGTTTTGTTTTAACTTTTGTGTGACACCTGTACCTTACAGTTGCAATGAGATTCGGCAGTGAACTAGTTTAATTTTTGGATTTTATTTTCCCACTGACATCATCATTCTTTTTGACAAAAAATATAGATTGAGGGGTAATAAGTTGGGGGTCTTACTGTATATTTTACATACGTCCCAGCATTTTAGTATAATTTTAATTGGAATGAGTAGTTGGATGGAAGAAATTCACCCGAATTATAATATAACTCTGCCATAATTAGTAAATAAAGCGAAATTTGAATTTTCTGCGTTTGCTTTTGGTAGCAGCACAATAGTTTTTGGCAGTCATCGGATTGAGACGTGATTTCGCATAAAAAATGAAACGTATAAAAAACAGATGAGGAGCAAAACGATGAGATTTCGAGTATACTTCTGTTTTATTTTCATGATTGCCTTATATATACTGTAATTCCGCAGTGGGATTTCCTCGCGATTTTTCAATCCTGGCGACGCTCAAGAGCAGCTCGTCGACAGAGAGCACCTTGCTGACGATTTACAGCGACGCGGGTGACGATCAGATTTCCATCCGACTCCGCGACTCCACCGTCACCTTCTATTACCAGGACAGGAACAACTCGTTCAAGGACGGACTCACTGCCACCTTCCCAATAGACGTCACTGACGATGCGTGAGAAGTCACCTCATTTCCTTCCTTATACTCCTTCCTGCTGCCTCTCGTATCGTCGTATCAGCAGTTTTCTTGAGATTTCCTGTTCGATGGAGGACTTATATTCGATGCAATTGCTGCTATAAAAAAAAACACTCACTGAGATAGAATAGAGTATAATGCAATATTAAACGAATTGAAAGCTCAACCTTCGAGCAGGGTTGCCAGGAATTTTTTGCAGCAATTGCCCACCGTCACTGCATGGACAGTGCGCATCAAAACATATTGCTCTAGCAAATGTAGCCAAAGTTGTCATAAAATTATTCTATTTATGCAGAAAAGTTTTGGAAGAGCCAAAAGAAAGCTTTCCTAGGACTAAGTTTATCAGAATTCAACCAAAGAATTAACCCTTGGATGGCAAAGGGTTCCTTTCTGCGGTACCGGGTCATCCACCAGCAGTTCAAACCAGGGTTGCGCACCCACCGGTCGTCAAGCGCCGGTTGGTCTAACGGCCAGCCAGGGCAGTCCTTGGCCTTGCCAATCCCCAGTCCACCAAACTGCGGTTTGGTCACCTGATTGTTGGGGCACCCAAACAATTGCGTGACAACAATCATGCTGATTCTTTCTAGAATTTGGTGAGCAGAATGGTATCCTGCCACAGATATTTTTTTTTTTTTACAAAATTTCATCTCATAAACATTTTCACACAAAGAAAAAACTCATCAAACCCAACCTAACTTAACCTAACATATCCTAACCTAACCTAACCTAACCTAACCAAAACTTACATAACATAAACTGACCTAACCTAACCTAACCTAACATTGCTGAAATTTTGAAAAAAATATCTGTGATAGGATACCATTCTGCTCACTGAATTGAGTGAATTCTGAAAAAAAAATCAGCATGATTCTTGTCACCTGATTGTTTGGGTGCCCCAACAATTTGGCGACTAACCGCAGTTTGGTGGGCTGGGGATTGCCAAGGCCAAGAACTGCCCTGGCTGGTGGTTGGACCAACTGGCGCTTGATGACCGGCGGGTGCGTGACCGTGAATTGACCAACTGGTGGCTGACCTGACATGCCTTTCTGCTGTGCAGCAAAGTCAAGATTTGGGGGGGGGGCAGCACATTTCAGTTTGACCAAAGGTCACTGGAATGCTCCCAGTAGGTTAATCCTGCCTAAGTCTGGAGAAATTCTGGCAGCAAATTTCATATTGTTTTGAAGAATCTCCAATGTTAATCCCATGCCAGGTTGCAGGAAAAAATACAACCCAGCTGGGAATTTTTTTGATGCAAAATTTTTTGCCCTGTTTGAAAAACATATTGGAATTTTTCATCCTGACTTAGATTGGAAAAAAATTAGGATTTTTCCAATTTTCAGTGCTCATGGGCACAACATTTTGTAAAAATATCATTACTTTGCCCTAAAAGGGTTAACTTGGATGTTGTACAGTATTAGATTATGCTAGTTTTCACTTTTGCCTCATGCAAATCTTTCCCTGTTTACTCCACTGTGCTCATCAGGTGCCATTTTGACAAATGTTGGTCAACCGAATCCAAACTAGCCAAAAAAGATCCTGGCACCACTGCTTTGAAGAAAATAATCCATGTATACTACTGAAGAGTTTCTTTATGCACAAAAAATTCATTACAATTAAGACATTTTAAATATTGTACAAATAATAAATAATATACTGCATATTGGACATTATTTAGAGACAAATATGTAGTTATATGATTATGGCTAAACCTTGAAGTCTTAAGATTACCAATAATAAATTCAATGTACGCAATAATTTTTTAAAATGAAGTTCCAAGAACGAATTTTTAAGCAGACATTAATATTTGCCCCTAGTTTTTTAGAACAATTCATTGCGTAATTTCATGGCAAATAAATGACACAATCCACAAGGAACGCATCACAAGTCAATGGGAACCAATCTCTTCACAAATTCAAATCCAAACACAGATAAAGAATGAATAAAGTGAGAAGTACAGTATATTAATCTCACAATAAAGGTTATGTGTCTACTGCTTTAAACAAATTACTGTAAATGCAAGTTCAGAGAGGACAAAAAAACCTTACCTGGATTTTTCTCAGTGCATTCTCACTGCAACATTTTCTGTGTTTGTTAATATGCGTGCTAAAGTGGATTTCTTCCCTCTTTATTTGTCATCTTTGAATCACGAACACAATGGAAAATAAGGTGGCATCGAATGGCGTTTTATGTGAAAGGAGACTCTGTGACGTTGATTGTGGACTGCGGGACCCCCAGTACTCAACCCCTGCCGCGACGGTCGGCGGACTTGGAGAACCCCCCAGCCATCAGCAATTCTGGAATCATTCTCATCGGTCAACAATTGATGGATGTCAGATACTTCTCCGTGAGTTACTCACGATCGATCTGTAAAATTCCTACTGATTTTTTTGAACATATTATTTTTTTCATTAAGCAAAGAAAAAGAGAGGCAAAAGAGTATAGGTCAACAATGTTGAGAGATCTTCCAACATTTTTGTTTAATTCAGGCAACTTTTTTGTATAATGGAGGGCCGCAAATGATTTTATTTCTTTAGCATTTTAAAAATGGCATGTCAAGTGTATCAGAATTTAGAAAATGTACATTTGTGTTTCACTTAATTCTCATAAATTGATTCATATAAAAGATATATTGGAAATACTGTAATGAGAAACACATGAAGTATCATTATTGNGAAGTATCATTATTGATATTTTTTATTCTGGTCGTATGCATTATGATTTTGATTTTGGCGAATTTTGATAGTTTGGCCTTTTCTGAATAATAGGAAAAATGTTTCCAATTTATTTTACTTGAGAAATTCCCAGTTGTAAGCCTTTGCTGATTATTGGAGTGTTTCATGTCCCTCCTTAATTGCCTTTTGCTTTTTATTGGTATCCCCATTTTGTGCAAATTATCCTTTAAAATAGCGTTTTTGCAAATATGAGCACCCCTGAAATTTCAGTTCTAATTATGCCAGAGTCATGCCCAACAAGTGTGGAAATACGAATAATATTTCTGCACTTTATGAAGTCCTGTCAACATCAAAAGTGTACTTGAAATTTTTTAAAGAAGATTATTTGACTTTGGCAATCCACATGCATTTTCAAAATAATATATATAGAGAGAAAATTCTACAAATTTCCATTAAATACTTGATGTTTTTGTTCAATTTTTCTGGTTGTTTATGAAATTCGGAAGCTGGATAAAAAAAAAACGTATAGCCAGGGGCATTTGAACGGCTTCTTAACGGCATATGCAAGATCCATTTTATGTCCCAAAATGACAATTCCCGCAATTTGTGCCCATCCTTTAGATATTCTACGCGGCTCGCTGAATGCCATTCAAGCCATTTCAAGACCATGCGAAACCATATATTCAGGTTATAAGGTCATTTTACATGCCTCGAAAGCCGTCTGGCCTTAGGAAGGAAGTGAAGACGGAAGGGGTTTTATTTCTCTATACAACATAATAGCGTGTCATTGCGCACGGAATTGTCTAAATAATCGATAAGTTTTTCGAGTTTTTTTTTCTTTTAAACCGAAGGAAAGGTTTTGTTTTTGTACAGAGAATTCATCGCAAAAGTCGGTGCGGATTCCCCCGAAAGTTTTTGCACTAGTTTTTTAATACCGCGGTTTTTCCACTATTCCTTTTAGGGGAAATATTCAAAACTCTAGAAAGATAAAATTTTCAGGGATATAACAGAAAATCGTTGGTCTTGCTGATCTATAATGAGAGGGTGCACAAATGGTGCTCTATATATTTTTTTTGAGTAAAGTAGAAGCAGAGTTTAACCTTTCTATATAGGATAACAATATGCTTTTTCTGTGTACTCGAGCATTTTGTATTGTTATCTAATTTTTTTTTTTCAGGGTGCCTTGCAGCAGGTGTACATTGTGCCGACTCCACAGGCAGCTTATGAGATGTGCTCAGTGTATTCCCCGGACTGTGATAAGCCTCTGGTGTACCTCGCAGCTGATTTCCTGTCTTCCTCCGCTGGAATGCAGGAGAAACTTCTGGCGCCCGAGCTCCTGGTGCCGCCACCGCCGCCGCCGTCCAGCAGCGCGCCCAGACTGGTGATGCAACCGCCCTTTTCTTTTTCTCATTCTTGATTGATGTTTCCAGCAGCCAGAAATATCTCCTTCCTGTTTTTGCTAGTCTTTGAATTAGTTTCCCACCTAAAGTCAAGGGACAATTATGCACAGTGAGACCCTGAGATGTGGACATAATTTTTTCTTGGATCTTATTGTCCTAATGTTGGATAATACACATGTCCAATCTCATTTTCCCATGGACTTCAATGGAAATTTATTTAATCAGTTTGCCAGTACATCAAAAATCAGGAATGTGTCACCCAAAATATAAAATATGTTTCTCAACTTGAATATATAGAATATAACTCTGCAGAAGAAAATCAACAAGAATTTGATCTTCTGGCTTCAAAAGGACAAAAAACGAACAAAAATTTAAAGTTGGTCTATAGTTCTATACCCTGCACAAATGATGGAGAATACTCCCATAAAAAGAAGAATACAATTGATAGTTTTTATTATAAATTTGAGTAAATATACACCTAAATCATTTCTTAAATTTTGCAAAGATCATTAGCTGAATTTGTTTAAAAGAGATCCAAATTAAAAAAAAAGAATTTCCATTTAACTAGAAATGTTGGAACGGTGTCTGTGTTATATTGTCCAGGTCAGCTTTTATTTTATTTTTAATTGTCCATAAGTAAGTCAAATTGTATACGGATGTTGGGGTGTCTGTATTTTGGGGCCTATTGCTGTGTATCCAAGTGGCACTTGATGCAGAGATGCTGGATTTTTTTGCAACTTTTTCTGTTCGCCAATGGACTTGGAAATTGCAAATCAAATAATACCACCACTTCATGCTGAAATTCAAAGTATGAGAATATTTTAGCTAATTTTTTTATTTTATAGCCTCTATTTTGTTTTTGGAGGTAAGAAATATTTCAAACATTCCAGTATTTATTTTGCTACATTCCCTTAAATTTGGGGTTCGGAAGGACTCCGGAAAATTTGAGTTTAAAACTGCAAGCATCAGCTTCAACTCCATTCCGGAAAGGGAAAAAATAAAAACATTTCGATGTGTTGGACATTGAATATCGCATGAATTTGTAATACAGTATTTTGCATTCTTCGTTTTTTAAAGTTCTATAAAATTTATAAATAAATATTTTGGAAGAATCATTTATTTTCCTGCGAGTGGAATCTTCCTGGAAATGATCAATTCCTGTGTTTTCTCATGCATGATCTTTAGAACTGCATGGGATGGTATTATGCTCTCGTTATTATTTTAATTTGTATGATTATCATTATTCTTGGCTTCCCATGTTGAAGAATGGATCCGAGGATTCATCAGTTGATGGCTTGGAATCAGCAGCTGACGGGGTTAATCGGAGCACAGAGTACAACTATTACGGGCTCATGGGACCCCCGGGACCCAGGGGCTACCCTGGCGCCCCTGGTGACCCTGGGCTGCCTGGCCCCAAAGGGGACCCCGGCAGGGACGGGGTTGCTGGCACCTCGGGCATTGCTGGCCCACCTGGCCACGTTTTCATGATCCCAGCAAGTATATTCAAAATACTCTTCCAATCATACTCCAAATGTGTAAAAAAAGAAATCATCTGATGATGAATGTGGATAATTTAAACAAAATTTTGGCATATTTTATTAATTTTCGGAATATTTATAGATTTTCTTCGGTATATTTTTTTGCTGCTTTCCGTGTATGCACTGGTGTAAATTGTTTGGCCTAATGTAATTTGAATTGGGTTCTCTTGTGAAAGATGGGTGGTAGCAAGTTTTCACACTGTTCATAAATTTCCAAATTTGTCTCGCAATTGTAATCACAGGTACTTGAAAATGAAGATTTTCTTCAGACAAGACAATGGTTTTCTGTCTGAAGGAAATTCAAAAATGTTCTACCAGAAGTTTTTCATTGTTTTTCCAAAAAACTTTAGACTTTCTAGATTTTTGCAGTGTTTTCATATAAAATTCTCGATATTCTTCACTGGGGTTATTGTAGGGCTTTGATGTAATTTTTTTCCTCCATTGCTGTGAATTTCAAGCTGACCCAATCGAACGAGAAAGGACCTGACTCACATCTGGAAAATCTCCGACACATGCTCTCTCAGCACATGGTGGGTGGAAACCTTGGCTTTTTTCCCTTCTTTTTCTCTTTCCGCAGACAATTTTGTCGGAACAATTATTGCTTCATTCTTGCAGATGGCCATGAGGGGCCCAGTGGGCCCCATGGGACTCACGGGCCTTCCGGGAGATGTTGGGCCGCCGGGCGTCGAGGGCCAGAAAGGAGAAACCGGCGAAATGGGCGAACAGGTATTTTTTTAGTACTGTACTGTCAAGTACTCACCCCATCCTACCCAGTAATCATGAAACTTTTCTTTTGGAACACAGTAAAGATCCTGGGATTACTCATTTATGCACGAGGTCTTGGTTTTCAGTGAATTTTGCCTGCTGCAAGCCCGTAAAAATTGGCAACACTGCTCGAACGTTCAAGTTAAATTGCATTGCGATACATTTAGAAGTGCTGTTCAACTGTAAATGGTATCAATTGACAAAACTCATGGACATTGCTTTAAAAAAAACAGGTTGAGGAAGTTCTGCTGGTAACTTGGAAATGAATCCTTTTCAAAGCCTTTTTCATTTCAGGTTGACTGGTTTTTTGAAGTGATTGAAATAGGTTTTTTGAAAATTGTACTTTCATGAAAGGGGCCCAGAGGTTTGAGAGGAGTCATGGGGATGCCAGGAAGGGAGGGGCGAAGAGGAAAACCAGGCAGAGATGGCCTTTCTCCGTCGTCACCGGGGTGACCATAGTTCCCACTTGGACCCGGTGTTCCTAATGGTCCACCCTGAATCGACAGAAAGTACATATTTCTTGGGACATACATACTGGGAGGACAGGGTTTTTCTTACATGGTCAAATCTCAGTCATCGGAATAAAATATTCATTCCATGTCTCCTCCTTCGAATATCTTCCTCTGGTCTTGGAATTGTACCAATATGTCCAGATTTCAGTGCGGTATTGTCAATATAGAAGAAACATGGTCAAATCTCAGTCATCGGAATAAAATATTCATTCCATGTCTCCTCCTTCGAATATCTTCCTCTGGTCTTGGAATTGTACCAATATGTCCAGATTTCAGTGCGGTATTGTCAATATAGAAAAGTTTGAATTTGATGGCAGTTGTTGATTAGGTCATAACGAGTTTAAATTAAATTTTAATTAAATTTAATTTTAATTAAATTTTTAATTTAATTTTAATTAAATTTTTAATTTAATTTTAATTTAAACTCTTTCTCTTTTATTTTTGTCATCAATTTGTGCTTTGTTTCCTGCTTTGAAGTGATTGAATGTCTTTGAGGGGAATTGGGTTGGGTGGGGAGGGGGTTTGGATGCAGGAGTCTTGGTTGTGCCTTGTGAACGCTGAAAAGCAGCAAATAAAGTGTTTTGTTCATTCATTCATTCAAATGATCAGCAAAGCACTGACTGTTTCATACATTTTTTCAAAGAGACGTCTTTAAATCCACGCTTATTAGTGCCAGACAATAGAAAACCTCAGTTGTTCTGAAGTTTGTTCAGCATTGCGTACTACTAGCAAGCAGCTGACTTCAAGACTTTTAAACGACGTCACGGCTCATATTTTTAAAAGGGGACGAACAACAACAACAACAACGAGGAAAATAAATCTGCGGCATTGGATGATAGAATCCCGCTGGAGGTGGAAGACAGTGTGGTACAACGTCACGTGTGCACTCCTCTCGCCAAGTAATGGTGTCCTTGGGGCCCCGCGGCCAACGCCCCAATCAAGCAAGCATTGAATCCCCCAGGTGCTCTTAATGACCGTGGACAGACCTCAGCGCTGGTACCGGCTGGACGGCGGCTGGCCCGAAAATAGAACTGTTGCCTAGTTATTTTCCTCGCACCAATGCAATTATGCTCGGCATTATTGTGACCAAAAAAATGAATAAAAAAAAATGATCGGACTTGTCTGACTTTTCATCATTGACTAAGTCCAGGCTACAGCATGAATGCTTTTCCGTTTTTGCAGGTCTTCCAGATATAAAGAAAAAAATTTATCGTCGCGAAAGTGCAGCATCACAAGACATCATGTTACAGTAACATTTCGTTACAACGAAGTCCCTTGGGACCTGACAATAAACAGGAAAAAAAATCGTTTTGGAGAGAATTGTGTTGTAGAATGTAGATCACCCTTGTAACTTCAGGAGGGAACCCTTTGGGACCACAGCTAAATTCGGTATTCATTGTAACCAAAAAAATATGTAGAAAAAAATATCAGACTTGTCCGACTTTTCATCATTGCCTAAGTCCAGGCTCCAGCATGAATGCTTTTCCGTTTTTGCAGGTCTTCCAGACCGAAAAAAAAAATTATCGTCGCGAAAGTGCAGCATCACAAGACATCATGTTACAGTAACATTTCGTTACAACGAAGTCCATTGGGACCTGAAAATAAACAGGGGAAAAAATTCGTTTTGGAGAGAATTGTGTTGTAGATCACCATTGTATCTTGCAGAGAGAACCCTTTGGGTCCACAGCTAAATTCGGTATGTATTGTAACCAAAAAATTCTATAGAAAAAAATGATCAGACTTGTCCGATTTTTCATCATTGCTTCAAGACCAGGCTCCAGCATGTATGCTTTTGCCGTTTTGCAGGTCTTCCAGAAAGAAAAAAATAATAATAGTTTCAGAAGTGCAGCATCACAGGAAATCACGTTACAGTATCATTTCGTTACAACGAAGTCCCTCGGGACCTGACAATAAACAGGAAAAAAAAATCGTTTTGGAGATAATTGTGTTGTATAGATCACCCTTGTAATTTGCAGAGAGAACCCTTTCGGACCACGAAAAAATTCAGTATACAGAGAAAAATCCTTCAAGACAATATATTTGTTTAGAGTCCTCCTGTTTTAGCTTTTAAGGCACATGATGACGAATTTTTTGTTTGTTTTGAATGCTTTTGCGCTCCTGCAGGTCTCTCATAAAAATATCATCGTCACAAGAGCCACATCATCACATGTCTCTTATTACAGTAACATGGAACCTGAAAGTAAGCCTCATTATAATGCAGTAAGTAAAAATCCTTATTGTGGGCCTTAAAAGCTTTTACAGGTGGACTCTCTACAACTATCTTGTCTGTAAAAATTTTCTCTGCATACCAAATTTTTTCGTTGTTCCAAAGGTTTCTCTTCCCATGTCATGAGGGTTCTTTACAGCAAAATTCTCCCCAAAAAAAGGATTTTTTCTGGGCCCTTGAATTTCGAGGTTAATAGACAGTCCACCTAATATTACGACCGTAATCAATGGACCTCAACGACGAATCCTTCGAAAATAATCATGAAAACGAAATTGGTTTAACGAGCTTCCACTGCATTCCTTTTTACAACTTGAAATTGCTACAATTATCTCATGGATTATATATATCACAGGGATTGCCTCAATACATTACGCATTACAATTTTAAAATGAGTAGACAACCATTTTTAAAGCTCTGATAAAACTTTCAGTCACATTACCTCATCATTCAGGGACCATATATTTATAGACTCATAGCTCTATAATACACAATTTTGATTGAATTCTAATAATTTGAAACTTAGAACAGGTAAAGTAGTGTACACGTCTTAGAATTCTTGTCTTATTTAGTCTAATTTGAAACTTTCTGATTTTTATTTAGCTTCGAAGTGTCCTGAATGAACCTTCTCTACAACACCTCTTAAAATTTGTCGCTTTAGTTTCCACGAACAAAACGCAAAAACCGAGGGTTATAACAATGCTCTAAAACATTCCTGCCCAAATATGAATTTCCGAATGCTCGCGGATTCTGAAATATGCAGTTGGTGACTTCCTATACGTCAAAATTAGTGCAGTAATCTAATCATGTTCGAATTAAAAGTAACAAAAAATGAGATTTACTTTGCGTTCAGTAGAAAGTTCCTTGACGGTGTCGAGGTGCTGCGCGAGCTCAAATAACGGCTTTACTTGTCTTCCGCTACGTATTTATAGCCTAAGTTGCAAAAAGCGCTCTTTTTTTCCTGAGAATAAACAAATTTTCAACACTTCATCCAATTGCTTCAATTCATCATTGTTCCCGAGTTATTTAGCCATTGACAATCATCATGAGCATGACTTTCCCCCAACCCTTTTCCTTTTGTCTATAGTTCCGGAATTCGACGCAGTAACTTGACACCGCTGTCCAACAAATTTTTGTCGAACAAACTTTAACTTCGTGAGAACATTGAAAAAAGGTAAATCGTCATTTAACCGGGTCGAAAGATGACGTTTTCGTGATATTTTTTACCTACGTCATCCCAGATAATCAAGCGGCAACGCAAGTTATTTTCAAGGCCACAAGAAATGATTTTAAACTGCAACAAACTCATGTTTTAAAACCGAAACATTCCTTTTTTACGATATTAAATAATTCTCAGATATTCTTTTCATAATTTAGAGGTCACAGAGATGCAGGAATCGGCGAAATGAACGACATAAGGAGAACAACAGTACGAATCTCGAGTATATGCTCAATTATGAAAAGATATTAAACCTATGAATAATTTGTTGCATCAATAAAACTGCTTATAACTCACAACTGCAAACATACCTGACCATATTACAATATTCTTAATTTTTTTGCAGTATTATTTAATGAATGTCTCCATACCGCGTCGTGACCCTTTTCTTCTCTCTCCTTTTTGCCGAACAACAGAACGCAAATGGACGAAAGGAGATTTTTCTGAAAGACGATGCCTCAAAACAAACCCGGCAATTCAACAAAAATCTTGAAACGCTGTTTCGGATTGCCCTCGAGTCGAAAAAAAATTTCAACGAATTAACTTTTTCCCCTTTTTTGAGCAGCATCAAACGCGTCGATCGCTACTGAGCACTTTTTCCAAAATATAATCAATCAACCAGGGAACAAACAAGACAAGTCGCGTCTCGGGAATTCCTTCACATTTTCGGTACAAAATCAAAAAAACACGTTCCGAACAGAAAAAAATTTCTCAAAAAAATCATTCGCTTTCGAATGAGGCCAACTTGACAAGAACAAATGATGCGAACGACATTTCAAAGCCAAAATAACACGATAATCCATCCATCACGATAACATATCATGGGGACTTGGTACCATAATAAAATACTCTTAAGAAATTACAATGAGTAAATTACTGTCATTCAAATCTAGATTGCATTCGAAAGAAATCCGATCCAAGGAGCTCTTACTTTTGATTACGGCCTGAATAAATGTCGGGACATTTATTTTTTTTTAGATCCCACAGGACAAAAAGTTCTGCAAAAAGAGACTGTTTGCATAAAAATTGCCAAAATCATGCGACAACACTTGTTCCACAACAAGCTATCACGGTGGACAGGTTACCACATCACCATGGTTCTCAAAGTTACAAGGGACAAATTTTTCCATCAGGCAGAATTAACATACGAATTACAGCATTATTTCATTCAGGTTGACCTCATTCAAACATCTTGAACCCAAAAGAAGGGGAAGAAAAATAAACCGTACCGAGACGAACGAACCAAAACATTCGTTTCCGGTTTGGCTGACGCACTAATGTTTTTCCCGCATTCAAAACTTACACAAGTGCCCAGAGATTGACAAACACAAAAAATAAAATAAAACGCAACAAAACATGCGGGGGTTTTCTTTTTGTTTCTCTCCCCGGTTTTTGTTCGAAAAAAAAAAAAAAAAACCTTGGTCCATGTAGCAGCAGCTACGAGGAATCCTTTTAAAAAAGACACAGAAAAAAAAACACTTTACGCTGTCACAAAATTCCACAAAATCTTTCTTTCGCACGGGGACGGATATTTCCAACTCCGAGTCTCTTTCAACTTCTTCCTCAAGTACCCTTTTCCGGTGCAATCAAGTCAAGTCTTCTCCTCTCCCAACCCAACCCTCTTCGTCAACCTTAAAACCCTTCTATCAATCGAAAAAAAAAACACACGCCAGAATTTTTCCCTTTCCCCAAGGAAAGGGAAAAATAAAAAATAAAAATGTGCGCGACATGAGATCTCACGAAGAAAAAGAAAATCGTGGTTTTTCTCTCTCTCTCTCTCTCCCTCTCAATAGTTTTCGTCGACCGCGGAGATCACCGGAGAAACCGAATCAAGAGTCGTTAGCCTTCCTTTCTTCTCTTTTTTCGTACTACGGTTTTTGTTGATGGCACTTGGATTCCAGACGACAAAAAAACGACGATGCAGGAAACGAAGAGGAGAAAACAAAATGCGTGTGATGTGCAGCAGACTTCGCTGAACTCCGTTGGCTTCCTCTCTTCTCCATTCATTTTCCTTGGGTCGCAGAAAAAACTTGCACGTCCGTCAAAAACTGGTCCCATCGAGGCCTGAGGGCAGAAAACGCCGAAAAATTAGACCGGGTGGTTGCTTGCTGCTGGATGGGGGATGAATAATGAATGCCGTGGGGCTAACCAGGAACCCCAGCATGAAAGGGCAACACATCGTTGGTAATTGATTAAAGTGAAGAAGAAGAAGATGAAAAAATAAATAGAAATAAATTCGAGTCGGGATGACGATGCAGGCCGACAGTCATTAAAAACGACGACGCGGCGGAATTAAAGAGTCTCGCGCGCGGATGCAGATCCAATTATTCATCTCGACTCTTTCACTTTATGGGGACCACAGAAAACGCTTCCTGTATCTACTATTTTTTTTTGTGTTCCTCTCGCGATGTTTTTTCCACATCTTCTATTTATTTTTATTTCGAATTCAGCATGTTTTGA